CATTCTTTATCTGATATACATTTCCTTAAATATATTTTGTCAAAAAGAGGCCACTTTTGTTGTGATTGAGAAGAGAGGAATCCTTGAGTTTTGTTCTTTAGATTTTCCTTTAGCAGGATGCATTGTTTATAATTTTCAAATAAGTAAGAGTTATTACACTCAGAACCAAATAAGTTGTTTGTCAATCCAGAAATTCCAAGAGATCATAATATATTATAAAGGAAAATTTATTTACTCCAATGTTGCTTTTAAAATGCTTGATTTATTAATAAAATTAATTCTTTTTTTCACTTGTGCTTTGTTGATACCTAAAAAGGCAAATGATTGTTATGCACGTGATCAAAATGTCTTACCTGGGGGTGGGGGAGTAAGTGCTACTATAAAAATGATATTAGCTAATATATGTCAGTGCCCTTATTATACAAATATTTAATTCTATTTAACATGTAACTACCCCCCGTAATGATTTATATTCGTTTAGGTCGACTGTTCATCGTCCGTTCCTTCCAATTAGTCTGATTATTGATTTCAATATTCAGTTTAAGCTTCGCACTAATTTTCTTTAGGAACAATTTAAGCTGTTCACCTCTTTAATCAAATCATTTGTCATTTATAGCTTTAGGTCAAATGATTACACTATGAATTTACCTTGAACATTCCCCATAATATATTTTTTTTATCTTTTGAAAAAAAAACATTCATCTACATGATCTTTTGCAAAATGTTATTCAACCTTACATTGAATTCAAATAACGTGATCCTCCAGTTAAGGAAAGGATTTAATAGAAATCGATCCTGATAAAATTCACACATTTGAATATATAAAATAATTAGAAGAATACTTTATCTTCATTAAGAATATTGTTAAATGTAAAAAACAATAAATTTATTTTCTTATTCATATTCATTATTTTTACTGTATTTATTTATATCCAGAAAAAAAATATGACAATAATTATAAATTAATAAATCAATATCAACAAGTTTTCCTCTATCATATGTAACAATTACTTCATGATTTTAGTAAGATGAATGACAGACAGGTTAATAAACCATCACAGGTCAAAAAGTGACAAAATAGCTATACTCAAACTAAAAAATATTGAGACTGTAAAGTTTATGTCTACGACCAAGAAACCGCAATATTCGGGATGTTGCAACCTAAGTTGCAATCAGTTGCAGGCATCAATTTTAGAGACGTGGTGTAGTTTTAAATGTTAGGCTTTAATAATCCGGGCGTACATTTTTCTGGTAACTTTATGATTATAATTTGAAGCTATTGATTATTTTTGGTAGGCTTGTAAAACAGTTAATACATATTAGCCAAGTTTTTCTTCATATATTTGTTTTATTAAAAAAAAAAAAAGATTTATAAATAGAAAATAATGAATTAATACGCGTATATATATATTAATAGAAAAAATAAAGATCATTAACACCCAAGAAGTTACATATTAATTAAATCTAGCACAAAAAGAAATCCTTCATCTATATGTTGATTGTATTGATCCAGGTTTAAGATAAACATGGGCTATACGATTATTACCATTACGAATACCCTTACTACGGTAATTACTATCACTATCAATAATATAATTATCGATATCATAATAGCCTTTATCTATATATCCCGGAGCATTTATGAAAATGATTATACAAAATAAACACTATTTTACAACTTTCCTCTTAACATCAGGGTCCAAATGCAATTTCAGGGCCACCAACCCTGCTCTGAATTGTGACCTCCTGGAGCTTGAAACGAGCTGCAGATTCTCTTAATATTCATCAACAGAGTTGCGACTTGGTCACAGAGCCATCCTTACCCTAGTGTAGGATCGTTGCAGGCGACTTTTCGGCTAGCATGCCAGCAGCCATCTCTGATCTGGAAAGATTAGTGAAAGTGTCATTGACGATTGATGCATTCTTGGTAAACTCCAGGGCCATGTTACCCCCTGGAATTCAGCAGCATCGTTGTATCATCGGGTAATCTTGGTCAGATTAGCCTTGTGTGCACGAGGAAGATGAGAATAACTGTAATGTGTTCAAGGTAGCGTGCGTGCTTCAACGCCTGCCAATTTCCTGTAATCAAACGTTCCATATCGAAATGTTTCATATTCAACAATGTGCTGCCTTGACATCTTGCAATTATAATAATAATAATGTTATTATTAATATTATTGATTACGAAAAACAAAATATTATCAATATTATCAATGAAAATCTTGTAATTACCCAACAAGATCTGCTCCCATGTTTTGATTTC